GGAGGGAGGAGAGAGAGAGAGACAGACAGAGAGAGAGGAGAGCGCAAATCGTTTGTGGAAGCGTTCGTCGTGCGGCAGGCAATGGGAAGAGAAAGCAGCAGGGGTAAGCGAGCGAGAAAGCTGAGGAGAAAGATAGTTCGATCAGGAGCACGTAACCGTGGCCGATCGATTGGGTTTCATTGTCGAGCACCTTAATAAGCATCCACGAACCAGCACCAAGCACCACTGATCACGCCGCACCGCACATAATAATTCTTCAGACACGCACCCTTTCGCAGACCGAAACGCTGTAAGATCTATCCCTTTTTCATTAACGGTTCCTGATTTCAGGAAAGGGGAATCGAGATCCTTTGATGTGTCGTTGGGAGGAATATTGGGAAACGCGAGTCTGAAACGGATGTAACTGTAGACGGATAAAACGTGCAACGACCCGTGGAACGAAACGAGTCGAAAATTGATAGAGGGGGAAATTGATACTTGTGGTGTTCTTCTATTGTTTACTTTCTTCTATCGTCGTCCGCGAGGGAAACGTTCCTCCCGAAGAGTAACGTGCCGCTCGATGAAAGAACACGGGCCGCCAAGTGGAAAGACAGAAAGAGACAGAACGAAAATAATCGAACGCGTTTGAGAAACGTCGTTTTCCCATGTAACACGGAAGCCTACACGGTTATCGATTGATCGCCGGTCATCGCTCATCGTTCGCGTTTTCTTCCCTCGGTCGCGCCCTACAGAGTCGCTTTCTCCCCCGCCCAGCTAACGAAAAGTCGGCCTAAACTCAGCGTCTGGTGCCTTTCGACTTCGGCAAGCAACCGAAGTACGAGACGCGAAGAATCAGGACATTCGATATACCTAAATAAAGAAAGAGAAAGAAAATAAAGAGACAAGACTGGGAGGCGACGACGAGACAAGAAGAAGAAGAAGAAGAAGAAGAAGAAGAGTATAGAGAGGATAAACCCTCGAAAAAGAAGAAACGGCTGGAAGGAAGAAGGGAACGGTTGAAGCGAAGGAAAGGTATTCGATTTCGATTCGAAAGCCAGCCCGGTTAAAACCGGTGGAAAGGTATATATATATGATGGCGGTGTGCATGTTTTGGCTTCTCACGTACGTGGGACAAGGTCTGGACCTGGCCGTGGGCAATCGTCCGGTGATCATCATGCAGGGTGCGCAGGAGCAGCAGGACTACCGGCACGGTAGCGGTATCAGAAAGAAGAGCGAGCTGAATTCGGTAGGCAATAACCTGTTGCACTTCAGAATATATCCTCCCGAGGCCTCTCACCGGGACGACCTGTCCAATTGGCTCCTATTGAACGACGAGCCACGGATCTCCTCGTGGACACCAGCCGGCATATTGATCGACGATATGATCAGGGAGCCGAGGGAGCTTCAGACCGTCTTTTTTGCCCTGTCCCCCGCCATGCTGAACACGCTCTACTCGGAGTACGTGAACACCGCTGCCTCGCAACCGGCCGACCACCACTTTCTCCACGAGGATCAACAACAGCAAGCCGTTGGGGGTCCGTTGGTCGGCCAACGCGGCAAAAAGTTGCGAATCGACTGTAGACACTCCAGGAACACGGTCAGCCTGCCTATAAGAGTGTGCGACGACGAGAAGACGGGGCGGAACAGCCTCCAAGAAGCCAGACAATCGAATTACGACGATCTCTTCGAGCAGAAATTGAACACTGCTGCTAATATGAAGACTGACCCAACGTCACGGGGACCCGAGAAGCTTCAACGGGATTATCAGAATGCCGCCACGTTTGTCTCGAGGCCACCGTTCGGCCTGGACGCGGCCAAACCTCCCGGAAAGAGGAGCCAAACTCCTGTTGGACGCCGCTCAATCGACCTCTCAGGAGAGTCGGCCCCGCATCAAGCTCAACCGCCGTCCTCCCTCGGGAACGGTATCAGCGTCGCTTCTCAACTTATGCTCAGATCCACCAGGGGAAGCATACAGTACGACGTACCGCAAATCGGTGAGTCACTCTCCAAATCTATGTTTTTTTGGGGGGGGGGGATGAATTGTTTTTATTTTTTGTACGTTTTTCGAATTGTTTCGAGTTTCGATTGATCGGAAGCGAGACGATGAAGTAGGTGATGGGAGATCTTTTTATCGATCATGTTTTAAACGTTTTTTGATAATGGTTAGGTTGATTGGTGATTTCAGTAGAAAAGTCGAATTGGCAATTTGGTTTTTAAGATGGAATAGGATATTTGATTATTAATTGTGTTTTTAAGGAAATTTGAGAATTGGTAAAATTTTTGAATTCCTTAAATAATGTAAACCTTGTTGTCGAGATTCTTATTCGTAAGAAATTATTTGTAATTTTGGGAAAATTAATGAGGTTTCGTCGCAAAACAATCGTAAAATTTTCGATGATTTGAACTTTGATATTTAGATTAAAAAAAAAAAAACATACGCGGTTGTTTTGAGCTCGAATGAAAATTTAATTCTATTTTTAATAGAAGTATGAAACTTTAAGTTGAAAAATCGATCAAGTCTAGAAAAAGGTCAGACTTTTGTTTTCAATTTAGATCAGACTCAAACGCTTTTTTTTTTTTTTAATTCGAGTTAGGACTTCGTTATCCGATAAAACGATACACAGATCGATAAATGTAAGACACGTATTTCTCTCCTACAATAATTATTGAGAATTCTGAATTGGTCTAAATTGGTGAAACTTTCTGTGGCGATAGATAGGAGGAGGGGAGGAGGGAGCAGCTCGATCGTCCTACGTAAATGACAAGAATTTTAGTCTTCTCTTTTCGTATACCCATTTGATGCTACCATTGATCCTGAATAACGTAATATTAGATCGATGATGGTATTTATAAATCTACCATGGAGTTCTGTTTATAGTAGCAATCTATAATCAGAAACTAAAATCTCAGGTTCCCTGATCACACAACAAGACTCTCTAATTATACGTCTGATACTTTTACCCCCCTATTCAACGGAATATTTTTATCTTCAAACAAACGTGGAATATTCACCTTGAAATTATTTCAGTTTAAACTTGCATTCGACCAAATTAAAACATTCGACAAATATTTGCCGCGTCAACATTCAAGAAATTAATTTCGTCACGTGTTACCATGTAACTTTATAGCACGTCCAGCTGTCCTTCAGGATTTAATTATTCCTCCTCCTCCTCCTCCTCCTCCTTCTCCTGCCCCTCCTCGTGTCCTTTCTCCCGCAGAATTGTAGAAAATTTTCTATATCCTTTCACGCTCGTACCAAATACGTCATCGTTTCATACTAATTTTCGAAAGTCGCAATTCATCTATTTTCCAAACACACTTGCGCAAACTCAGTTTTGTTTCCATTCCACTTTGTCTCTAATCATCGTCGTAACTCTGTCAACACTTTGCTTTCTGCGTTCATGGTTACGTCCCTTTTATGTCGTTTCCTTTAACCCTTTTGCCATTAACGCTGCATACTTGTTCTCAAATGTTGAGTAATCATTTTCTGAAAGATATATAATGCATTATAGAATTATTTTTATTTTTATCTATCCGTTATATACCATATATATATAATTAATACAAAGGAAGTAATTAAGAAGTTAATTCTAATCTGATCTTTATTCTGTTCTATCGATTAATACGTTGTTTTATTATTTACGAACGATGCAAAGAATTTTATACACCTCGATATATATGATGAGAATTGTTGATTATTTCAGAGATTAAAGCGATAAAAAAAAGTGTACATGTGTAAAAATATCGTTCGAGATTTATTTTTCAAGTTAGAATTTAATTTTTCAATAAAAATGATACAAACATTTAATCAAATAGTAAAAAAAAAAACAATTAATTACTACTGATCGGATAATCTTTAAATTAATTAACACCAAATGTTAAAAATTTTATCATTCGATAATATGAATTTTCAGTAGGAGTTTAAAGAGCTTTCAACTTTCAGAAAGTATCATAACAAAAGGATTAATCCGCTTAAACATTCTACACGTATTCAAATTGATTATTCAATTATTATTCAAATCTATTCAAAAGACATCGAATTGAATCATATTTCCTCGAGCTCATCGATAAAACGAGAAAATCGGTGGAGAAAATTTTCAAGAATCCTAACGCGATAGAAAAATCGATCCTGATCGACGAAGATCCTGCTTGGCTAAATTTCGAATTCGATGAAGGAAAGATCGATCGATCGGTAAATACTTGATTTTGGATCAGAAGCAAGAACTTTTTCGTTGAAAAATCGAAGAGTCGAAAAGGGAGGACGATGGAAATATCAATGCATGAAGAGTAATTTCTGTATCTGCCATTATTGTTCGACGAGTATCGTTTATATGTCACCTCTTCGGGGACCAATTCTCTGTATGCATTATCGTCGCAAAGAAAAACCACGCGAATTGCTTCGAATTACAACAACGCGATGACATTTTCGATAATCGATACCGAATCGAAAGAAATCGAGCATTCCGTGTAATCAACGGTGGAATAACGTGGGCATTTTAAATTCGAATGTTTATCGATATTCAAATAACATTATATACAAGCATTTTACGCTTAAATTATTTTCGATTGTGTCTCTCGACAAAAGTATCCTATCGCGCGATAATTTATTAATTAATTGACGTCAACAGCAGGTTGTGGATTTCTCGTTTGACAGAGAAATTTTCAAAACAATCGTTCGAGCTAGCAGGTATTCGTTTCGTAAAGTTCATCATATCAATCCTTTGCACTTTAGAATGTTCCACAACATTTTGGTTTACCAATTTGGTAATTAAAAGCAGAATTCATAATGAGAGTTGTATGTTTTGCACGAATAAGAAACGTGATATTCTATCATCTTATACATATTGAATTTTTTATCGTGCGTTTACATTTTTATGCAGTATTGGAAGAAACAACGTGTTACGTGGTTTTTCGAAAGAATCTGTTATTATATTATTCGTCATCGCGAAAAACAACCGCTTTCCTTTTCTTTTTTCTCCCTCCAAGCTTTTAGCGCGATTTCCTTCTTGCAGGAAATATCGTCGAAGAATTATTTATTCGATCCTATACAAAATATAAGATAAACATCTTTATGAAATTTTATAAAAATCGACGATGCTCGAGTATACGATATTCCAGTGAGAACGTAATTTTAAGCAAAAAGAGTCCATTCGAGTATTTGATCAAGACAACAAGAGACAGAAAATTTCTATTTCAGAAATTTCTTCTAATTCCAAAACTTTAAATTTACCATCGACAATAAATTGTTACACGCCGTTATTTATTTATTTAACCAACAACACGTATCATCATCATCATCCTGTTATTATCCATCCTAGAAAAACACAATGCGAATCGATATCGCGTAGTCTAGTCTTCCAAACCTCCCCGTACAACAACGCGTCCTAACCTTTCACACAGGTTGAAAGGGTTAATTATGAGGTCGTGACGCGTAATTACTGTGGAATTTTTTTTTCTTTTTCCTTTTTTTTTTTTTTTTTTTTTACTCATTACCACAGTATCGATTTTCAAACGGTGGGTGTACGACGATCTCGAGACACTTTAATGACTTTTATCGCGGCGGGTGATCGCGATGGCACGCCCTATGACCGATGTCCACCCGGATTACGGAGAAGCGACAATTTAATCGCCGATTCCGTTTCGTTGGTGCACACGTTTTCGCGGAAAAAAAAAGAAAAAAGAAAAAAAAAGAAGAATGAAAAAGTGACGAACGACGCATGCGGTTCGCGGGAATTAATTCTATTCTTCGTGACCTTTCGTAGGAAATCGTAGAATAGGTGTATATTGAGTTTCGACCGATGAATAGTTGATTTACGGTGCGAGAGGTATATCGTTGATTAAATAATCCCCTATCTCGCCATTTGCTCCATTTGCAACCCTCTTTTCTATCTCTCGTGCGTTTGCTCGTAGATTAGATATTTAGGAAGGGAACTGTGATTAATTTGTTGAACCTATCCTCTAATGAATTTTTGACGAAATTAAGGGAGATCCCCTCCCCTTTCACCCTTTTTTCTAGTCATATTTGATCGCGACAATTCATATTTCAAGAATATTTGATGTAAGAATATATTAATCCTTTGGTTAGTTACGGTTTATTATCGAACATGTAGTTCAAAATGGCGAATATTATTATATTTAGTGTATCGTGACGAATAATTATCCTGGCATTTTTATTACATTACGTTATATTATTCTGATATATATTGGCTTGAAGGGATGAACGATCCATTGAGTTCATTTAGCTGATCCACGGTCACTGCGATATGTCGTTGATTAAGTAATTCCTCTATCTCCCCAATTTTGCTCCTCCTTTCTTTCTATCTCTCGTTTGATTTGGCAAAGTAAAAAAAACTCGTTGCTCCGTGATTAATTCTTACATGGACAACTATATTTCGATTTTTTTTTTCAGTCATTTTTACAGTAATTTATATTTTAATTAAACTCTGAATATAAACTCTGAGCGTTATGATTCATTATTGAAAATAATGTATTGGCAGGAACGATTATTCGGTATATTTATCTTGTATTTTTATTGTATTATGTTGTGTTACTCTGATATGTTAAATAAAGTAACATATATATTGGGGATTAATAATGTACTTTCATTTAGTTGATCCATGGTTACTTGTGCGTGGTGGCGAAGGTATTGTTGATTAAATAATCCTCTACGTTCTACTATTTATTTTCTGCCTTTTGTTTGATTTTGTGGTTTAGAATTCGTTCGTGGGATCTGACAAAGTTATATGTATGTACATATATACATACACAACATAATACGTATATATATACGATATAATTGTTCAAAAGATTAAAGGTTTATTGAGTTTCCTCTGGTTCCACGGCCACCTGTGGCCACATATCGTTGATTAAATAATCCTCTACGTTCTACCATTTACTTTGCCAATTTTCCTTTCTACCTTTTGTTTGGTTTAGCAATGTAGAACTGGTTGGAATCTGACGGTGTTACACGCATTTGGGGAACTTTGATTAACAC